TATTGTGGCCCCGCTACGGTGAGGGATGAAAGCGAAATTCACCGCCGCGACAGGCGATTGCACGCTCAGCGCGCGCAGGCCCAGACCCGGGAGAGCTGTCGCCCTCCCCGACCGCCTGCTTGTCCCGCCTGGGTCAATCAGATGCCGCCCGGCTGAAGAAAAGAAGGTGGCGTCAAGTACGGGGGCTGGGTCTCGAGAAGGCCGCTCCCTCCGTCCTCAGTATTGGGTTTTGTTGCCCAACCTCTTTAGAAAATCGGGTACCCCCGGATTCCAATCTTAGATGTGCCACTGAAAGAAAGTGAGCCGAGAAGCCCGGTGCCCATCAAGCTTTATTAAAGGAAAAGAATCTGCCCGGCTGTGCTCAAAGTGAAGGGCACCCCGGGACAGCCCTCAAAATGGGGGACAGCACCAGGTGTGGGGGTGGTAGAGCTTATATAGGGCCGGCTGAGACCATCAAGGAGGGGCATTATGTTAATGTGGAAGCTATGCGACCAGGGTGGAGAATTGCACCCTTGTGGAAGCAAAAGGGTTTCTGTTTCTCAGAAATCACTAAGTTTCTTACAAAGGGAGGGGCTGGCAACTATTTCGTGTTTATTGTGTGCAGAATGGCGCTGGTCAAGTCCAAGATCCGTCAGCCACTTATTAGGCCATCTGATCTTGGGAAAGTTAGCTTCCCTGAACCTCAATTTCTTCATCTGTAAAATGGAGATAACAGTAAGGACGTTGTGAGAATTAAATGAGGTGATTCAAGTAAATTGAGTAGGAGGCATTTTTAAAATGTTAACTCATTATTATCCTCTGCAGCCAAGTCTAACTGAATTTGACCCAGGCAGGCTGTCTAGTTTGTAGCTCCAGCAGAACGTGCCCTTCTCCTCACCTTGGATCTGGAGAGGAGTAGGATCCTTAGTGGCTTAGCTGGGTGCCTTCCCTTTGGACTATAAATGTTAGCTGAGGGGAGGGAGTGGTAGCCCTGGAAGAAGGTCCCCTGTTACTCAGAGCTGCTCCAAACATTGGCCAGCTGGTTTCATTGTCCCAGTTGGGGCCTCAGCCCGGTTTCATTGTCCCAGGTAGGTTTCAGCCCTGAGAGTACTGGATTAAGCAAATGCCAGTTGGCCTCACAATAGATACAGGTGGAGTGGAATAAGTAGAATTTAAGCAAACGCCCTACAAATCCAATGCAAGCTAAAACCGTATCCTCAATATGACTCCCCCGCACCCCACAACACATTTAGGAACTGTGTTTCAGTGGAAGCACTTGTAGGAATCACCCTCAGTGCTAGAGCAGCCTATTCGGTAATGAAATAGCAAGCAACAGAGGGTAATGGGCACCCAGACTTCAATGTTCTCTCTAAGCAAGACCCTCTGCCCCAAAAGAATTCAATTGAATCTTATGTCTTATGGTGGTGCTGCTTTTGATTTTAATGAAAAGCCTTGGTGTGTAGATGTTTGAGATGAGAATGGTAAAAAGTCTAGTCTTTTTAAAAGCAGTCGTTACAATAGTAAGGATCAGAAGGAGCATTATTCCACAGAAAACCAATTAGAAGCCTCCTTGGGGGATTAGAGAATAGTGTTGATAACACCACAGTCAAGAGTTTGGATCCCCATACTGGCCAGCCACCCCCAAAGCAAACAAAAAACAAAGAAGTCTCTTCAGAGTTTGCAGCTTGAGGTGGAGTTAGAACATGGTGCTATAAATAAGCAATGTAAGGGCCAGCCTATGGCTCACTTGGGAGAGTGTGGTGCTGATAACACAAAGGCCACGAGTTCAGATCCCTATGTAGCGATGGCTGCTTAGCTCACTTGGGAGAGCGTGGTGCTGACAACACCAAGTCAAGGGTTGATATCCCCTTACCGGTCATCTTTAAAAAAATAAAAAAATAAATAAATAAGCAATGTAATATCAGAGCAGTAGCTCATTGATGGTGAAGATGCTGGGAATTGAACTAGCCATTTGGGAAGACTATGGCATTTGGCATGCTTACTTCTGTAGCCTTGTGTTTTCATGCCCTCTGTTCTGATGAATGATTAAGGGATGAGAAAATATTCTTACTCCCTCTTTTTTTGTTTTTAACAATACAAATAAATTTATTCCTACCTGTATTTTCTGAACTTCTATTTATCATTATATTGCTTTATTTTTTTTTTTTTTGGACCGGTAAGGGGATCTTAACCCTTGACTTGGTGTTGTCAGCACCACGCTCAGGCAGTGAGCTAACCGGCCATCTGTATATGGGATCCGAACCCGGGGCCTTGGTGTTATCAGCACGGCACTCTCCCGAGTGAGCCACGGGCCGGCCCTATTGCTTTATTTTTAATTGACATATACTTTACATAGAGTACAACGGGGCCTTGGTGTTATCAGCACCGCACTCTCCCGAGTGAGCCACGGGCCGGCCCTATTGCTTTATTTTTAATTGACATATACTTTACATAGAGTACAATGCAAAGATATTAGGTGTACAATTCCATGAATTTTGATGATTGTATACCCATTTGTAATCACTTCTCCAATCAGGATATAGAGCATTTTCATCACCCCTGAAAGATTCCTTGTGCCCATTTCCAGTCAATCCTACACACCCCAGCCCATCCCCACGCAACCACTGCTCTGATTTCTATTTCTATAGTTTATATATATCTGTTTTGAACTTGTATAAATAGAATCATGCACTATGTATTCTTTTTGTGTCTGGATTCTTTCAATCAACATAGCATCTGTGAGATGGCAAATCTCTCATCTGCATTGTTACAGGTATCAATATTTCATTTCTACTTTATTTTTAATCAACATGATTGAGAAGTACAATGTATATACAGTAAAATGATTTTTTAAGTATACAATCCCATGAGTCTACAAAGTTCCATGAGTTGACAAATTTATACATCTATGTAACCAGGACCTCAATCAAGATATAGAGCAGTTCTGTCACACAGGAAGTCCCCTTGTGTCATGTCCAACCTTCCCCCCTCCAGAGTTCTAATTTTTATCACTCTAGATTTCATTTTTCCTATTCGTGAATCTCATATAAATGGATTACACAGTATGTGACTCTTGTGTCTGGTGTCTTTCCTTCAATATAATGTCTGTAATAGTCATCTATTTCATTGTGTGTGTCAGTAGTTTGTTCCTTCTTATTACTGAATAGTATTCCATTGAATGAATATACCATAATTTGTTTATCCATTCTCCTGTTAATGGACATTTGCGTTTCCAGCTTTGGACTATTATGACTAAATCTTCCAGGAACATTTGTGTACAATTTTTTTGTGGACATGTGTTTCATTTCTCTTGGATAATAACTAGGAGTGGAATTGCTGGATCAAAGAGTAAGTATATGTTTAATTTTTTGAGAAAATGTCAGTTATATGAAACCATTGTACCATTTTACATTCTGTACAGAAGTCTATGAGAGTTCTGGTTGCTCCCCATCTTTACCAACACATGGTCTGTCAATCTTTAATTTCAGCCATCCTATTATGTGCATTGGTATCTCATTGTGGCTTTGATTTACATTTTCTTAATAAGTTATGATTTTGAGCTCTTCTTCATATAATTACTGACTATCCTCTTTTGTGGAGTGTCTGTTCAAGTCATTCATACATTTTGACATAGTTGTTGCAATGATTAGAAATGTATCCTAGAGGGCTGGCCCAGTGGTGCACTCGGTAGAGTGCGGCGCTTGGGAGCGCAGCAGCCCTCCCACCGAGGGTTCGGATCCCATATAGAGACCGGTCCGCTCACTGGTTGAGCGTGGTGAGGGCGCGACACCGAGGGTTGTGATCCTGTTACCAGTCACGAATAAAGACAAAAAGGAAAAAAAAAAAAAAAGAAAAAAAGAAATGTATCCTAGAGTAATATATTTTGAACTAAACTCTATATTACTCTATTCACTCATGCATTAAAAAAATTTTTTATTTACAGTTTAAAATTATGTGCCATGAACTTTTCTAGGTTCGCTAATCAGCTGTGACCAAGACACAAGATCTTTGCTCTTTCTGAAGAGTTCATATTCTAGTGGGGAGAGACAAAAAATAAACTGATGACTTTTGATGGTATGGAGATGCTCATTGAAGTGTTATGCATTAATAGTAAAACATCGGAAGCAAGCTATATCCCCAAGGAAGGAGAGGAAGGGGACTTAGGTAATATGTGATATGAGCTTGCTATTATACTGCCATTACATTGAAAATTATGACATTAGGGCCGAGCTCGTGGCGCACTCGGGAGAGTGTGGCGCTGGGAGCGCAGCAGTGCTCCCGCCGCGGGTTCGGATCCTATATAGGGATGACCAGTGCGCTCACAGCGCTCACTGACTGAGCATGGTGCAGCCAGTCTCAAAAAAAAGAAAAGAAAAAGAAAATTATGACATTAAAAAATACTTAGCCATATAATTAAAAGGTTAAATTTAAAATTGTGGGTGATACAGGATCCGAACTCTTGACCTTGGTGTTACAACACGTGGTGTTACAACCACGCTCTAATAAAAAAATTGTATATTTTGTCTAGGACTATATAAAATACCTTCGCTATGGACAAAGTCTGGAGGGAGCCTGAAGAAAAAGAAAACGCTGTTGTGCGTTGCGTGTATTCGAATTATGGTAGAATTATGAAGGTTTAAGGGGCTTCTCTCCACCACCCACATCACTGCGTTCTTTAACAGCAGAAACTGGAATCACAGTTTTCTCATAGGACTTGCCTTTGTCCAAAGCTCTACAGTTCACAGAGACTTATACATTTAATATGAGACATGGAAAGTCTAAAAATAAATTTTGCGTTATTTCAGTGTGAAGTAAGGCAATGAAGAGACGGGGGAGAGTCTCCCTTTACCGAGTACCCGGATTTCAACTCAGGATGAGGCTGCACCAGGGCGAATCTGAGCACAACTCGCGAGGTTTCCGCAGGAGGGGGCGGGGGGGCAAGGCGGGTGAGTCAGCCAAGCGCGGCGCGGCGCTGTATGATGACGCCACCAAACGAGAACTGACGTCACTTTCGCGCACCACCGCTTCCGGTTCCCGTGAGTGGAGTTCTCGTTCCTGCGGCGGTCTCAGGGCCGGCGTGGGCCCTCGGTACGGTGCATCTTTTCCCCGCAAGTCGGCCTCTTTCCTCCGGAATCATGGCCACCGACTCGTGGGCCCTGGCGGTGGACGAGCAGGAAGCGTCTGTCAAGTCGGTCAGTGGCTTCAGCTCCAGGCGGGGGGAACGTAGTAGGGGCCCAAGTGGACCGTGGTTCGCGAGGGACAGGGAGCTCTCCGGGTTGGGCAGGCCCGTGGTTAACAGGCTCCTGGAGTTTGCTACGGGCAGTCACTTAGTCCTGATTTGCTGCTAGAGCTAAGGAGACCAGTTTTGAGCTTTTTGTCTTCTTCTGAGCTAGTTAAGGATTTTATCCTGTGGTAAATCTGTTTCGCTATTGTATGCTAATCCTTTTTTTCTTTGGAGTGTTACTGTGCTACTCTCTATATAAACATTTCTTAGATCCATGCTTAACTTGGTTGGCAGTTTGTAGCTCTTTTAAGAATAACGGATTCTGGGCCGGCCCGTGGCTCACTTGGGAGAGTGCGGTGCTGATAACACCAGGGCCAGGGGTTCGGATCCCATATAGGGATGGCGGGTTAGCTAACTGGGTGAGCGTGGTGCTGACAACACCAAGTCAAGGGTTAAGATCCCCTTACCGGTCATCTTTAAAAAAAAAAAAAATAAAAAAAAAAATAACGGATTCAGATTTAGATGTAATGTTTCGACCTACTACAAATATTGGAGGGAGACACTACAAATATTTCATTGGTTTTTATTTTTTATTTTTTTCCTTTTTGTCTTTTTTCGTGTCCGGCAACGGACCGCAACCCTCAGTGTCGCGCCCGTACAGGACCGGACCGGGACCGG